AAGTCTCGCTCTGTCACCCAGGCTGGAGTATAGTGGTGCAATCTCTGCTCACTGCAAGCTCCGCCTCCCGAGTTCACGCCATTCTCCTGCTTCAGCCTCCCGAGTAGCTGGGACTACAGGTACCACCACCACGCCCAGTTAATTTTTTTGTATTTTTAGTAGAGACGGGGTTTCACCGTGTTAGCCAGGATGGTCTCGATTTCCTGACCTCGTGATCTGCCCGCCTCAGCTTCCCAAAGTGCTGGGATTACAGGCGGAGCCACCGCGCCCAGCCAGATAACATCTTAATATATGTCTCTGAGGTGTTTTTCAGAAACCCCAACCCCCACCAAACAAATTATCCCACGAGTAGACCACAAGTGGACAAGATAAGGGGGAACTGGGGATTGACCTCTGACCTCCACTTTCTACTCCAAATTTCTTCCTGAGGGTACTGGAGTTGGTCACACCCATGAGCCAGAGCTAATATTCGTTTCTACTGACGCTGCGTTTTTAACAAAGCTTCTCTTCACCAACTGCAAATTGGAAAATCTTTGACTCTACCTATGACCGGTAAGCCCCCCACTTCAAGATATACCAGCCTTTTAGGTCAAAAGCAATGTGTAACTTTTATATATTAAGTTACCTTTTTGCCTATGACTTCTGCTCTTCTAACATTTACCCCTGCCTTTAACAACCCTTACCTGTGAGCCACCAAGGGTGCTGGGACTTAAGCATGAGCTGCCTGATCCTGCTTGCTGGACACCTCGCAAATACACACTTTCTACCACAGCGAACCTCGGTGCGGATATCTGGTCTTACGTTGCTGGGTGAATGGACTCCAGTTCAGTTCTCAAACAGGTGCCCAAGAGGAAATACTGACCCCTCCCCCAGGTCACACAGACGACAGATGATGTTCAAAAGAAGGCCCAAGAAGGGACATAAGAGTCACGGCCGGTAGAGAACTATCTCAGTTAACAAAACCCCAGGGGAGTGACCATTTTGAAATAAGCATCTGGGCCAGGCGCGGTGGCTCACGCCTGTAATCCCAGTACTTTGGGAGGCCGAGGTGAGCAGATCACAAGGTCAGGAGATTGAGACCATCCTGGCTAACACAGTGAAACCCCATCTCTATTAAAAAAATATATACAAAGGCCGGGCGCGGTGGCTCAAGCCTGTAATCCCAGCACTTTGGGAGGCCGAGACGGGCGGATCACGAGGTCAGGAGATCGAGACCATCCTGGCTAACACGGTGAAACCCCGTCTCTACTAAGAAATACAAAAAACTAGCCGGGCGAGGTGGCTGGCACCTGTAGTCCCGGCTACTCGGGAGGCTGAGGCAGGAGAATGGCGGGAACCCGGGAGGCGGAGCTTGCAGTGAGCTGAGATCCGGCCACTGCACTCCAGCCTGGGCGACAGAGCGAGACTCCGTCTCAAAAAAAAAAAAAAAAAAAAAAAATATATATATATATATATATATATATATACAAAAAATTATCTGGGCGTGGTGGCGGGCGCCCATAGTCCCAGCTACTCAGGAGGCTGAGGCAGGAGAATCGCTTGAACTTGGGAGGCAGAGGTGGCAGTGAGCCGAGATCGCGCCACTGCACTCCAGCCTGGGCAACAGAGCGAGACTCCGTCTCAGAAAAAGAAAAAAAGAAAAGAAAAAGAAAGAAGCATGTGTTAATGTGTTGTGGGTTGTACTCTAAGGTGCCAATAAGTCTGATGATCAGGACAAAGTAAGGGGCCCTAAAGGCTGGGGTTGAGCCTAAGTAAAGCTGTACACGGTGGAGAAGACCCATTTAGAAGACCATGTGTGGTCTGTAGTGTCAACAAGATTTGTTTGAGCCATCAGTTCCACGAGGCCTCTAACCCCAGAGTATAAGAGAGCAGAAAGTTTTTTTTTTTGAGAAGGAGTCTTGCTCTGCCGCCCAGGCTGGAGTGCAGTGGCCAGATCTCAGCTCACTGCAAGCTCCACCTCCCGGGTTCACGCCATTCTCCTGCCTCAGCCTCCCCAGCAGCTGGGACTACAGGCGCCCGCCACCTCGCCCGGCTAGTTTTTTGTATTTCTTAGTAGAGACGGGGTTTCACCGTGTTAGCCAGGATGGTCTCCATCTCCTGACCTCGTGATCCGCCCGTCTCGGCCTCCCAAAGTGCTGGGATGACAGGCTTGAGCCACCGCGCCCGGCCCAGAAAGTTTCTTTGAATGCCTTATTCAAGAGCCCAGTGTTGGCCGGGCGTGGTGGCTCACGCCTGTCATCCCAGCACTTTGGGAGGCCGAGGCGGGTGAATCATGAGGTCAAGAGATCGAGACCATCCTGACCAATATGGTGAAACCCCGTCTCTACTAAAAACACAAAAATTAGCCGGGTGTGGTGGCAGGTGGCTGTAGTCCCAGGTACTGGGGATGCTGAGGCAGGAGAATCACTTGAACCCGGGTGGTAGAGGGTGCAGTGAGGTGAGATTGTGCCACTGCACTCCAGCCTGGTGACAGAGTGAGACTCCATCTCAAAATAAATAAATAAATAAAAGAGCCCAGTGTTGTGTTGGAACAGGAGTTAAAACAAATTAAAGACTGTGTAAGCAGAAACTCAGTTGTAAGGAAGAAAACCCAATTCCTGGCCGGGTGCAGTGGCTCACGCCTGTAATCCCAGCACTTTGGGAGGCCGAGGCAGGTGGATCATGAGGTCAGGAGATTGAGACCATCCTGGCTAAAACAGTGAAACCCCGTCTCTACTAAAAATACAAAAAATTAGTCAGGCGTGGTGGCGGGCACCTGTGGTCCCAGCTACTCAGGAGGCTGAGGCAGGAGAATGGCCATGAACCCAGGAGGCAGAGCTTGCAGTGAGCCGAGATCGTGCCACTGCACTCCAGCCTGGGCGACAGAGCAAGACTCCGTCTCAAAAAAAACAAAAACCAAAAACCAAAATGAAAACCCAATTCCCCCTGAGAAAAAGAAAGAGCTGGAGTCCTTTAAAAATTAACTGCCTGTTTTTCTGTGGCTGGTGAGCCTTATCTCTCCTCCTTTCCCAGGCATTGTGAAGACCCTGTTTCCCTAGCTGGGTAGCTGCAATGTCATTAGACAGATAAACTCAAGTTGTAAAACATGTTTTTCCTTGAAAAGTAAGAAATGATGTAATGCATGTCTCAGTTAATTGAATAACTGTCTTTGTTTCTCGCTTCTGTAATATCCTTCCCCCTGCACAAATCTCTCCCCGCCCCACAAAATGCTTAAAAGGTAACTTAACTCTTTGTTGAGGGCTCAGTCATTTGCATGTTACTCTGACTGGGTCGGGGCACCTAAATAGTAAATATCCTCCTGAACACATCGGTCTCTCTGATTCCTTATCGATCCCACTACAGTGTAGTTTGAGAAAAGAACTGAGCACCTTGGTCACTGTCAGTAATGTCTCTAACCCCAAGGGTAGGGTGTGTCTTGGTGAAACCCTGTATTGTGGCCCAGCAGGAGAATGTCTGGTGGGATTGGTAAGGAACATGCTCATTTAAGTGGCTACCATGATCAAAGTATAGGGAATAGCCTCTGCAAAGGTGAGCAGTGGGCGGGGACCCTATAAAATCTGTTTGCTCTCGGCCCTACGAACAGGCTTCCAGGGATTATGCCCCCTTGTTTATATGTCGTTTGCCTCTAGAATATTCAAGCCATTTCATCTACCTGCACATTAAGCACTCAGCTCTGAAGTTGGAGTTTTGATAGGTACAGAGATATTCGTGACCTGGATTTTTACTTGGGAACTGTGAGGCAAAATATCCCCAGAGTGCTTTACCTCAAAATATTGACCTAGGATAAAGAGTTGTTGCCACAGTGTTTTGTTTTTGTTTTTGTTTGTTTGTTTGTTTTTGAGACAGAGTTTCGCTCTTGTTGCCTAGGCTGGAGTGCAGTGGGGCAATCTCAGCTCACTGCAACCTCCACCTCCCAGGTTCAAGTGATTCTTCCGCCTCAGCCTCTGGAGTAGCTGGGATTACAGGTGTGCACCACCATGCCCAGCTAATTTTTTTGTATTTTTAGTAGAGACATGGTTTCATCATGTTTCCAGACTGGTCTCAAACACCTGACGTTAGTTGACCTGCCTGCCTCGGCCTCCCAAAGTGCTGGGATTCCAGGCATGAGCCACCACGCCTGGCCAGCTAGACCATTGCTAATGGCTCAAGAGTTCAGTTCTAGCAGTTGTGCTGACTCTAGTTAGGGAAGGTAAACTCTTCCTTGGTCACTCACTTGACCCCATGGGCCTTCCCAGGGTCTACTGGTCAGCAGAGAGACGAGACCTCCTCCAGCATCATGGAATCTGGCAACAGACTGAGGACAGAAGAAGCTGCTTTTTTCTTTTTCTTTTCTTTCTTTTTTTCTTTTTTTTTTTGAGACAGAGTTTGTTTTGTTTTGTTTTGTTTTGCTTTGCTTTGAGACAGAGTCTTGCTCTGTCGCCCAGGCTGGAGTGCAGTGGCGCAATCTCAGCTCACTGCAAGCTCTACCTCCCGGGTTCACGCCATTCTCCTGCCTCAGCCTCCCCAGTAGCTGGAACTACAGGCGCCGCCACCACGCCCGGCTAATTTTTTGTATTTTTAGTAGAGACGGGGTTTCACCGTGTTAGCCAGGATGGTCTTGATCTCCTGACCTCGTGATCCGCCCACCTCGGCCTCCCAAAGTGCTAGGATTACAGGCATGAGCCACCCTGCCCGGCCGAAGCTGCTTTGTTCTACAGGTGGATAACCGAAGGGCCCAGGTTTGCCTCTAAGTCAGCACCATTTTCATTTCAGGAAGGAGACCACTGTGGGTGGGGGATGCTGCCTGCAGGACCCAAGACCTGAGAACTGACCAATCAGGCAGCTGGGGTGGGGCCTTGAGAAGTGACCAATCAGGGGAGCTTAGGTGGAGCATGGAGAACTGTCAATCGGGGAGGGGGGGGGGGGTTGGGGCAGAGCCTGGAGACCTGTCCAATCAAAGGAGCTGAGGCAGGGCCTGGAAACCTGACCAATTAGGAAAGCCGGGGTGGGGCCTGAAGAACTGTCCAGTCAGCAGAGCTCAGGGCTAGCAAGCTGACCAACTAGAAGAGCAGGGGCAGAGTCTAACGAACTGTCCAATCAGGGGATTTGGGATGGGACTGGTGAACTCTCCACTCAGACGTGAGCAGAGAAGAGAACCGTCCAATCAGCCCCAGGGGCGGGGCATTGCCGCCCTCCCTGCTGAGCACTCCCGGCCTGCCCTGAGTGACCACGGGTGTTCCAGTTGTGCTCACCGGTACCTGCTGCGAGGCGCAGGGAGCTCGGCGAAGAGCTCAGGTCTTGGGTCCTGCAGGACATGGTGAGTGCAGGGCAGGAGCCGAGCCTGAGCCGGAGTCCTGGGAGGGGAGGGTTGGAAGAGGCCAGAACACGCTGAAACTCCCAGGGGAGCCGCCTGGGAGCCCCATGGAGCCTCTGTCCCCGTGTCACCCCCGAGTCCTGCGGGGAATCCCCTGCCCAAGTCTTCATGCCCTGCAAAGTCGTAGTTGTCAGGACGCTGGGATGGAGGGAAAAGAAAAGACAGAGATGACTCCTGCCCTGGGGGGGGTCTCACAAAGTTAACTGGAAGAAAAACTAACCCAAAGTCCAAAAACAAAAACAAACAAACAAACAAACAAACAAACAAAAAACCCACCCCAGCGACGCGGTGCAACAACCCCCAAAGCAGAATGCGCTTTGGATGCAAACTTTGGGCCCAGGCCCACGTCCCTGGGAGGGGCGAGGGGTGGACAGGTGGTGCGGGCGCTCCTGACCCCAAAGGCCCGCAGGCCGGACTCCAGGCCAGCCGCCCCTGCCTGGGCCTCTCTCCTTCTAAAGATGGATTTGGTTACTTGAGCCTGAGATTTTTTTCAGTCCATGGAACATACAGTAAAGAAGAGAGTTTGAAAGATAAAATATTTCTAAGGAGGTGAATTTCAGAAAAAAAATAAAGTTCTCGTCTTACATTCCATTTGTTAAAAATTCTTCCGTGCCTTTCTTTTTTTTTTTCCCCTGTTCCTTTTTTGCACGTATGGTTAAGTTTCTCACATCTGTTGTTTTCTTTTCGGTGATGACAAATGGGATTCCAGGGTTTAGCCCTTGACGGGGCTCCCGGGAAAAAGAATCGCAGAGAAAGAGAGAAAATCTCTCTCTTATTATGACACCCTCCGAAATGAATACATTCCTATAAGAAAAAATGTTTGGTGTTTAATTTGGTGAATTACAAAAACTTGCTAAAATATCAGTTATTCTCTTTTTCCAGGGTAGGGAATTTGTAACAGATAATAATTCTGTTATTTTATTTTATTTTTTTAAATTTTTTTTGAGACGGAGTCTCGCTCTGTCGCCCAGGCTGGAGCGCAGTGGCCAGATCTCAGCTCACTGCAAGCTCCGCCTCCCGGGTTCACGCCATTCTCCTGCCTCAGCCTCCCGAGTAGCTGGGACTACAGGCGCCCGCCACCTCGCCCGGCTAGTTTTTTGTATTTTTTTTTTAGTAGAGACGGGGTTTCACCGTGTTAGCCAGGATGGTCTTGATCTCCTGGCCTCGTGATCCACCCGTCTCGGCCTCCCAAAGTGCTGGGATTACAGGCTTGAGCCACCGCGCCCGGCCTGTTCTTTTATTTTTTATTTTTTTGAGACAGAGTCATGCTCTGTCGCCCAGGCTGGAGTGCAGTGTCACGATCTCGGCTCACTGCAACCTCCACCTCCCGGGTTCAAGGGATTCTCCTGCCTCGACCACCCGAGTAGCTGGGGTTACAGGCATGCATGGCCACACCCAGCTAAGTTGTGTATTTTTAGTAGAGACGGGGGTTCCACCATGTTGGTCAGGCTGGGCTCGAACTCCTGACCTCAGGTGATCCGCCCGCCTCAGCCTCCCAAAATGCCGGGATTATAGGTGACAGCCGCCATGCCCAGCCCCTTTAATCACTCTTTTGTATTCACTCATAAGGATATGTTGTTAGTGTTTGTTAGTTCCACTGTTTGCTAGTGACTGGGCGTTTTCAAATTTTTTCCATTATGACCAGGGCCACTAAAGACATTATTATATGTGTATCCACTTGAATGTCTTGTTCTCATCTGCTTTGCAGCATACCCTCATCCTCTTCCCCAAAAGCCTGATCCAAAATAATAAAAATTAGCCTGCCTCCCTGAGCTCTGCTGATTGGACAGTTCTTCAGGCCCCACCCTAGCTTTCCTAATTGGTCAGGTTCCCAGGCCCTGCCTCAGCTCCCTTGATTGGACAGGTCTCCAGGCTCTGCCCCAACCCCCCTGATTGACAGTTCTCCATGCTCCATCTATGCTCCCCTGATTGGTCAGTTCTCTAGGCCCCACCCCAGCTGCCTGATTGGTCAGTTCTCAGGTCACCTATAACCGTCTACAACTCGGTTGCTGGTGACTCCATGATGCCAGTTTTCCTGAGGGAAGTAATCAGTCTTCCTCGATTCTCCCTGTTCTGTCTTGCCCCAGCTTGAGCCCATCAGGAAATTGTGTATCTCCTCTTAGGCTGGTCCTGCACGCGACTGCACTGTGACCACCCAAGGTGACACGCCTGCTTCTCACCTCGTGCGGCTTTCGCCTCCTAGCAGGTGTCCTGGTATCTGCATCTGCCCCCTATGATCTAGTCTCAGCTGTCACATGAGATCACTGCTCTGTGCAAAGGCCTGGAGTCATTCAGAGCCAAAGCCAAAGTCCTTCCTGTGGCTGATGAGTTCCCCACAAAGTGATGTGCCTCACTTCCCATCACTCGACCCCCTTTGGCTGTCATGTCCCCATCCCCCTCTGCCCCGTCACACAGGCTCTGGCTGTACCTGAAAGAGCCAAGGGCCCACTCCTTCCTTAGGGCCTAACCTCTGGCTGTTTCTCCCACACAGAACAATTTTCTCCTTTCTGTATTTTTTCATTGTATACTACATTTGCCATGATTCAAGTGGATCACTTCTGAAAGCTTCTGTTGTTTCTAATTTCAGGGAGCAGATGGCATTTTACTATTTTGGGCTAGGCCCCCATACCTGTAATCCCAGCACTTTGGGAGGCCGAGGCAGATGGATCAGTTGAGGTCAGGAGTTCAAGACCAGCCTGACCGACATGGTAAAACCCTGAGTCTACTAAAAATAAAAATAAGGCCAGGCGCGGTGGCTCACGCCTGTAATCCCAGCACTTTGGGAGGCCGAGACGGGCGGATCACGAGGTCAGGAAATCGAGACCATCCTGGCTAACACAGTGAAACCCTGTCTCTACTAAAAATACAAAAAATTAGCCGGGTGCAGTGGCGGGCACCTGTAGTCCCAGCTACAGGGGAGGCTGAGGCAGGAGAATGGCGTGAACCCAGGAGGCGGAGCTTGCAGTGAGCCGAGATCGTGCCACTGCACTCCAGCCTGGGGGGACAGAGCAAGACTCCGTCTCAAAAAAAAAAAAAAAAAAGAAAGAAAGAAATGTACTAAGAGTGTAAATCTTACTTGTTCTTCCCATCAAATTTTTTAAAAAGGTAACTGGTGACAGATGTGTTAATTAACTTCATGGCAATCATTTCCCAGTATATATGTGCATCAAATTGTCATCTACACCTTAAATGTGTACCAGTTTTATTTGTCAAAGCCAAAAAAAACCTACGACACAGGAAGTGATAACAGACAGAGGGGAAGAAGCCTGAGGACTGAGTCTTAAGTCGATATTGGGAGACTGTGGGATCTTGTGTGAGTGTCCTATGAACGGAGTTCAGCTCCCCAGTGCTGTGAGTTCCACCATCCTCACGTACACGTATGTGGTTTGTTTTAGGACACGGTGGTCTTTGAAGACGTGGTTGTGGGGTTCACCCTGGAGGAGTGGGCCTTGCTGAATCCTGCTCAGAGAAACCTCTACAGAGAAGTGATGCTGGAGACGTTCAAGCACCTGGCCTCAGTAGGTAAGGATGGCATTATTTCTGCACTTGGTTATTAGATAATACATGTTTTGTCTGGTTGCAGTGGCTCATGCCTGTATTCCCAGTGCTTTGGGGAGGCTAAGGCAGGAGGATCACTTGAGGCTAGGAGTTGGCAACCAGCCTGGGCAACATAGTGAGACCCTGTCTCTACAAAAAAAATCAAAAATGAGCCCGGCGTGGTAGCATGCTCTTATAGTCCTAGCTATTTGGGAGGCTGAGGCAGGAGAATCACTTGAGCCCAGGAGTCCAAGGCTACAGTGACCCGTGATCACACCACTGTACTCCAGCCAGGGTGACAAATTGAGACCCTGTTTTATTTATTTATTTATTTATTTATTTATTTTTATTTTTTATTTTTTTGAGACGGAGTCTCGCTTTGTCGCCCAGGCTGGAGTGCAGTGGCCGGATCTCAGCTCACTGCAGCTCTGCTCCGGTTCAGCCATTCCTGCTCAGCCTCCGAGTAGCTGGACTACAGGCGCCGCACTCGCCCGCTAGTTTTTGTATTTTTTTAGTAGAGACGGGGTTTCACCATATTAGCCAGGATGGTCTCGATCTCCTGACCTCGTGATCCGCCCGTCTCGGCCTCCCAAAGTGCTGGGATTACAGGCTTGAGCCACCGCGCCCGGCGGAGACCCTGTTTTAAAGAGAAAAGAAAAAAGAGCCGGGCACAGTGGCTCACGCCTGTCATCCCAGTGCTTTGGGAGGCCAGGGTGGATGGATTGCCTGAGCTCAGGAGTTTGAGACCAGCCTGGGCAGCACAGTGCAATGCAGTCTCTACTGAAATACAAAAAATTAGCTAGGCGTGGCTGCGTGCGCCTGTAGTCCCAGCTACTCTGGAGGCTGAGGCAGGAGAATCGCTCTAATCCGGGAGGCAGAGGTTGCAGTGAGCCGAGATGGCACCACTGCACTCCAGCCTGGGCGACAGAGTGAGACTCCATCTCCAAAAAGAAAAAGAAAAAGAATAAATATTTCTTGCTCATTAAGCCTATTCTAAGATTTATAATGTAGAAAGGGAATACATTGGTTAATGAGACAGTTATAATCATTGATGTCCTGGACCTAAAATTCAGTAGCTTCTCTGTGATAATAAAAATCTTTTAATTTGTACTTTTCTTTCTGTCTTGTTGAAAAGACCTAGGGTCGGCCAGGCACAGTGGCTCACGCCTGTAATCCCAGCACATCAGGAGGCCGAGGCGGGCTGATCCCGAGGTCAGGAGATCGAGACCAGCCTGGCTAACATAGTGAAACCCCGTCTCTACTAAAAATACAAAAAATTAGCCGGGCGTGGTGGCGGGCGCCTGTAGTCCCAGCTACTCGGGAGGCTGAGGCAGGAGAATGGCGTGAACCCGGGAGGCGGAGCTTGCAGTGAGCCGAGATCGTGCCACTGCACTCCAGCCTGGACGACAGAGCGAGACTCCATCTCAAAAAAAATAAAAGAAAAAGAAAAAAAAAAAGACTTAGGGTCCTTTTGTGTTACCAGTGCGGGTATATTTTGGTGGCACGGAGACGTTAATTATTTGAAACATTGTGATGATTTTTCTGTGCATTTAAAATTATCTACCATTTTGACTGCTTGTACTTTTTCTTTTTTTTTTTTTCTCATTAGTTGAAATCCTTGACGGGGACAGCATCACAGGGATTCTGTGTCCAATGGCCTTAGCAGGAAGACTGCCTCAGAATTTGGCATGAATTATGCCACTGTTTCTGTGGGCCTGAATGACCTTTCCCCAGATGCTTCTGGTTTGGTTTGGTTTGTTTTGCCACCAGGAGTCACCGTGTTGTTTTTTGCTTTGTATACATAAGCATGTCTCTTACCCAAATAGAATTCAGTTTCATCTTGGGCATAAACACCTTCAATTATTATTATTATTATTTTTTTATTTTTTTTTTTTTGTCGAGACGGAGTCTCACTCTGTCGCCCAGGCTGGAGTGCAGTGGCACGATCTCGGCTCACTGCAAGCTCCACCTCCCGGGTTCATGCAATTCTCCTGCCTCAGCCTCCCGAGTAGCTGGGAGTATAGGTGCCCCCCACGACGCCTAGCTAATTTTTTGTGTTTTTAGTAGAGACGGGGTTTCACCGTGTTAGCCAGGCTGGTCTCCATCCCCCGATCTCGTGATCCGCCCGCCTCGGCCTCCCAAAGTGCTGGGATTACAGGCGTGAGCCACCGCGCCCGGCCAAACACCTTCAATTTTAAGAACAGCTGTGTGAGGCCGGGCGCGGTGGCTCACGCCTGTAATCCCAGCACTTTGGGAGGCCGAGACGGGCGGATCACGAGGTCAGGAGATCGAGACCATCCTGGCTAACACGGTGAAACCCCGTCTCTACTAAAAAATACAAAAAAAAAACTAGCCGGGCGAGGTGGCGGGCGCCTGTAGTCCCAGCTACAGGGGAGGCTGAGGCAGGAGAATGGCGTGAACCCGGGAGGCGGAGCTTGCAGTGAGCTGAGATCCGGCCACCGCACTCCAGCCTGGGCGACAGAGCGAGACTCCGTCTCAAAAAAAAAAAAAAAAAAAAAAAAAAAAAAAAAAAAAACAGCTGTGTGCTCTCTTTGGTTCTGGAGACCCTGCTTACAGGCAGCCAAAATGGCCTTGGACCACCACCTTCCAGACGCATTTTCTTTTGGAAGCCACTTTCCCTGCAGGCCTCCCCAGGCTCCAAGATGGCAGAAAGCTCTTGTACTTCTTCATAATGAAGTCAGGCCGGGCGCGGTGGCTCACACCTGTAATCCCAGCACTTTGGGAGGCCAAGGCAGGCGAATCACAAGGTCAGGAGATCGAGACCAGCCTGGCCAATATGGTGAAACCTCGTCTGTACTAAAAATACAAAAAATTAGCTGGGTGTAGTGGCGGGCACCTGTAATCCCAGCTACCCGGGAGGCTGAGGCAGGAGAATGGCTTGAACCCAGGAGATGGAGGTTGCAGTGAGCCGAGATCGTGCCATTGCACTCCATTCCGGGTGACAGAGTGAGACTCTGTCTCACAAATAAATAAATAAATAAGTAAATAAAATAGCGTAATGAAGTCATGAAACAATTAAACACCTGAATGACTTCTTTCTTTGCAGATGCCTTGCTCCTCATATTTGTTCACTTTTTTGTTTCAGATAATGAGGCTCAACCTAAAACCAATGGGTCCATTTCTCAGCAGGATACTTCTGGAGAAAAATTATCCCTTAAACTGAAAATAGAAAAGTTCACAAGAAAGCATACGTGGGCCTCCCTTTTAGGAAAAAATTGGGAAGAACATAGTGTGAAAGACAAGCACAACACCAAGGAGAGACGTTCGAGGTGAGTTGCACTGAGAAGAAAAAGGCAGGGCCGGGCGTGGTGGCTCACGCCTGTAATCCGAGCACTTTGGGAGGCCGAGGCGGGTGGATCACGAGGTCAGGAGATCGAGACCATCCTGGCTAACACGGTGAAACCCCGTCTCTACTAAAAAATACAAAAAACTAGCCAGGCGAGGCGGCGGGTGCCTGTAGTCCCAGCTACACGGGAGGCTGAGGCAGGAGAATGGCGTAAACCCGGGAGGCGGAGCTTGCAGTGAGCTGAGATCCGGCCACTGCACTCCAGCCCGGGCAACAGAGCAAGACTCCGTCTCAAAAAAAAAAAAAAAGAAATAATTGACTGGGCACAGTGGCTCACGCCTGTAATCCCAGCGCTTTGGGAGGCCAAGGCAGGTGGCTCACCTGAAGACAGGAGTTCGAGAGCAGCCTGACCAATATGGAGAAAACCTGTCTCTACTAAAAATACAAAATTAGCCGGGAGTGGTGGCGCATGCCTGTAATCCCAGCTATTCAGGAGGCTGAGGCAGTAGAATCACTTGAACCCGAGAGGCGGAGGTTGCAGTGAGCCAAGATCGTGCCATTGCACTCCAGCCTGGGCAACAAGAGCAAAACTCTGCCTCAAGGGAAAAAATAAAATAAATTTTGGAAGGCATAAACCATTAATAATGTGCTGCCCATTTTTAGCAGAAATCCAAGGGTGGAGAGACCATGTAAAAGCAGTAAAGGTAATAAGCGTGGAGAAACCTTCAGAAAGACTCGAAATTGTAATCGTCATCTGCGCAAGAATCATCGTACTGGTGTGAGACGGTATGAATGCAGTCAGTGTGGAAAACTCTTCACCCATTCTTCATCCCTGATGAGGCACAAGAGAGCTCACTCTGGACAAAAATTATATACATGTAAGGCATGTGGGAAAGCCTTCAGTCGCCCTTCCTACCTACAGATGCATGAGAAAACCCACAGTGGAGAGAAGCCCTATGCCTGTCAATCTTGCGGGAAGACATTTCTTCGTTCTCACTCTCTCGCCGAACACGTGAGGACTCACACTGGAGAGAAGCCCTATGAATGTGGGCAGTGTGGGAGAGGCTTCAGTTGTCCCAAATCCTTTCGGGCACACGTGATGATGCACACTGGAGGGAAGCCGTATGAGTGCAAGCACTGTGGGAAAGGCTTCAGGTGTCAGAAATCCTTTCGAGTCCATACGATCATGCACGCCGGAGCGAAACCCTACGAGTGCAAGCAGTGTGGGAAAGCCTACTGCTGGGCAACATCCTTTCAGCGACACGTGAGAATTCACAACGGAGAGAAACCCTATAAGTGTGAAACATGCGGGAAAGCATTTGGTTGGCCCTCCTCCTTACACAAACACGCAAGAACGCACGCTAAAAAGAAGCCCGTGAGGAGGGGCAGCGTGGGAAAGCCTTCAGCGAGGCCTCACCCCTCCACAAATGTCAAATTGCAAACTAGAGAGAAAGTCTATAAATGTGGAAAATGTGGGAAAACGTATGGTTGGTCCTCATCTTTACACAAACATGAGAGAAAGCACACGGGAGAGAAACCTGTCAGTGCAGCCAGTGTGGGAAAACCTTCTGGTGGGCTTTGCTCTTCCAAAAATGCAAGAATGCAGATTGGAGAGAAGCCCAGTAAGTGCGAAAAATGTGGGAAAGCTTTCAGTTGTCCCAAAGCCTTTCAAGGTCATGTGAGAAGTCACGCAGGAAGGAAACCCTATGCATCTAAGTAATGGGGGAAAACCTGTGCAAATTAACTCATATATCATGGTTCAGAAAATTCACAGCAGGAGGGCCAGGCACGGTGGCTCATGCCTGTAATCCCAGCACTTTGGGAGGCCGAGGCAGGTGGATCATGAGGTCAGGAGATCGAGACCATCCTGGCTACAGTTAAACCCCATCTCTACTAAAAAAAAATAATAATAATAATTAGCCGGGCGCAGTGGTGGGCGCCTGTAATCTCAGCTACTCGGGAGGCTGAGGCAAGAGAATGGCATGAATCGGGGAGGCGGAGCTTGCAGTGAGCAGAGATCGCGCCACTGCACTCCAGCCTGGGTGACAGAACGAGACTCCGTCTCAAAAAACAAAGAAAAAAGAAAATTCACAGCAGGAGAAGAATCTCATGACATTTATAAATATGGTATTGCCTTTATGAGGACCACATCCTAAAAGTGGGCCTCTAGCAAATGAATTTGCAATTCTCTTGCAGATAAAGTTGAGGGGAGAATTCTGTAAGTCCTCTCTCATCTATAGTACCGAACTGTTCATACATAACGGTTTTTTCTTATAAATTTACTAATGTTTCTCTTTTCTTTTCTTTTCTTTTTTTTTTTTTGAGACGGAGTCTCGCTCTGTCAGCCAGGCTGGAGTGCAGTGGCCGGATCTCGGCTCACTGAAAGCTCCACCTCCCGGGTTCACGCCATTCTCCTGCCTCAGCCTCCCGAGTAGCTGGGACTACAGGCGCCCGCCACCTCGCCTGGCTAGTTTTTTGTATTTTTAGTAGAGATGGGGTTTCACCATGTTAGCCAAGATGGTCTCGATCTCCTGACCTCGTGATCCACCCGTCTCGGCCTCCCAAAGTGCTGGGATTACAGGCTTGAGCCACCGCGTCTGGCCTTTTTTTCCTTTATTATTATTATTTTTTGAGACAGAGTCTCATTCTGTTGCCCAAGCTGGAGTGCAATGGCATGATCTCGGCTCACTGCAACCTCCGCCTCCCTAGTTCAGGCGATTCTCCTGCCTCAGCCTCCCGAGTAGCTGTGACTACAGGTACGTGCCACCACCATGCCTGGCTAATTTTGGCATTTTTAGTAGAGACTGGGTTTCACCTTGTTGGCCAGGGTGGTATCAAACTCCTGACCTCAGGTGACCCACCCACGTCAGCCTCCCAAAGTGCTGGGATTACAGGCGTGAGCCACCGTGCCAGGCCATATTATCATTGTCTTAATACCTCATTCTCTCAGTATTTCTTGTGCTTCTGTGTTTTGCTTCCATGACAGATACAATGGTACAACCATAAAAGCACGGGATTGTGTCCCTACTGCATCACTGAAAACTACCGTGACCTAGTATTCTTCAGGAGATAAATCCTACTGGTGGGCGGGTGCTCAGCCTGTATCCAGCACTTTGGGAGCCAGACGGCGATCACGAGTCAGGAGATCGAGACCATCCTGGCTAACACAATGAAACTCCTACTAAAAAATACAAAAAAAAAACTAGCGGCGAAGTGGCGGGTGCCTGTAGTCCAGCTATCGGGAGCTGAGGCAGGAGAATGCGTAAACCAGGAGGCGAGCTTGCAGTGAGCTGAGATCCGGCCACTGCACTCCAGCCTGGGCAAGAGAGCCAGACTCCGCCTAAAAAAAAAAAAAAAAAAAAAAAACAAAGAAAGACAATACTGGCTTATCAGGCACACTATGGGAATTTCCTGTCACACAGAGCTGAATACAATCTCTCAGTATGTATTCAGTCATTATGTTTATGTATTTTTTTTTTTGAAACGGAGTCTCGCTCTCTCTCCCAGTCTGGAGTGCAGTGGCACAATCTCGGATCACTGCAAGCTCCGCCTCCTGGGTTCACGCCATTCTCCTGCCTCAGCCTCTGGAGTAGTTGGGACTACAGGCGCCGCCACCATGCCCGGCTAATTTTTTGTATTTTTTTACTAGAGATAAGGTTTCACCGTGTTAGCCAGGATGGTCTCGATCCCCTGACCTTGTGATCTGCCCGCCTCATCCTCCCAAAATGCTGAGATTACAGGCGTCAGCCACCGCGCCCGGCCGATTATGTATTATTAAAACAAAAATTTCTGTTTCCGAGAAATCTCTATTTACTGTGTTTTAACTGTGTTTTCAAAGAAGTTGGATGCTATACAAATGGATAAAATGTTTCTGAGAAATAGCCTATTTAACTGAGTTTTTCAAATAAATTGTATACTAACAAATGTCAATCTCTATTTTTTGTTTACTGGAAGAATGTATTAAAATATTGAAACTGAATTGCCAAATCAACTTGGTGACTTTAAAAATTATAGTTCTGGGCCAGGTGCAGTGGCTCACTCCTGTAATCCCAGCACTTTGGGAGGTCGAGGAGGGCAGATCACGAGGTCTGGAGATTGAAACCAGCCTGGCCAACATAGCAAAACCCTGTCTCTACTAAAAATACAAAACTTAGCTGGGCATGGTGGCAGGCGCCTGTAATCCCAGTTACTCCAGAGGCTGAGGCAGGAGAATCACTTGAACCTGGGAGGCAGAGGTTGTAGTGAGTCGAGATTGTGTCATTGCATGCCAGCCTGGGCGACAAGAGCAAGACTCTGTCTCAAAAAAATAAAAGAAAACAAAATTGTATACTTATGGTTCAGCCTCATGTCTGCAAATATTACAAATTTTAGGGCATGTCATATATATGTATATATAGTATGTGTGTGGCAGAGTTTCGCTCTGTCGCCCAGGCTGGAGTGCAGTGGTGTGATCTCAGCTCACTGCAGCCTCCACCTCCTGGGTTCAAGCGATTATCTTGCCTCAGCCTCCCAAGTGACTGGGAATACAGGTGTGCGCCACCATGCCCAGCTAATTTTTTGTATTTTTAGTAGAGGTGGGGTTTCACCTTGTTGGCCAGTATGGTCTTGATCTCTTGACCTCATGATCCGCCCACCTTGGCCTCCCAAAGTGCTGGGCTTACAGGCGTGAGCCAACACACCAGGCCCAAGTCATATGTTTTTATGAGTTTGGACATTGGCATCTCGGACCAGGTACTTCATATGGATTTGAACCACAAAATGTTTGGGTGTTTTTGTTGTTGTTTTGTTTTTTTGTTTGTTTGTTTTTTTGAGATGGAGTCTCCCTCTCGTGCCCAGGCTGGAGTGCAGTGGCACAATCTTGGCTCACTGCAAGCTCCGCCTCCTGGGTTCCCGCCATTCTCCTGCCTCAGCCTCCCGAGTAGCTGGGACTACAGGCGCCCGCCACCACACCCGGCTAATTTTTTGTATTTTCAGTAGAGACGGGGTTTCACCGTGTCAGCCAGGATGGTCTCGATCTCCTGACCTCGTGATCCACCTGCCTCAGCCTCCCAAAGTGCTGGGATCACAGCTGTGACCCACCGCGCCCGGCCAATGTGGGTGTTTGTTTTTAATATCTTTGTGAAATAATTTTTTTTTTTTTTTTTTTTTTTTTGAGACTGAGTCTGGCTCTGTCGCCCAGGCTGGAGTGCAGTGGCCGGATCTCAGCTCACTGCAAGCTCCGCCTCCTGGGTTTACGCCATTCTCCCGCCTCAGCCTCCCGAGTAGCTGGGACCACAGGCGCCCGCCACTTCGCCCGGCTAGTTTTTTGTATTTTTTAGTAGAGACGGGGTTTCACCGTGTTAGCCAGGATGGTCTCGATCTCCTGACCTCGTGATCCGCCCGTCTCGGCCTCCCAAAGTGCTGGGATTACAGGCTTGAACCACCGCGCCCGGCGTGAAATAATTTTAAATTGCCTTATATATTTGGCATTGTCATTTTGCTGCCCCTGCACACTGATGGAAAAATTTGTTCTGCAGAAAACTAGAGTGCCTTACGGGGTGAGGAAGAGCTATGGTCATCTGCACACTTCTGGCCCATTGTGAGTCTTTTCCCGTGTGCACAGTGATATCTAGGCAAGTCCGCCGTGATTTCCTGGTGAGGATAAAATCTACGGGTGGTGAGAGAACTAGTCAAGGAATAACTGAAGTGAGCTGCAGACAGGATTACCATTTTGAGTAACATCCCAATTTATTAGTCATCCTTTAATTTTTATTTTTTTAATTAAACAATAATTTTTAAGTGTAAACTTTTAATGATCCACAAAGCCCAAAATGCCCATTTGATTTTCATAGGTATTGTTTCCATATACTTAGACTTCCAGCAGCTATTAGAAGAGAAAAATATATACCAGCTTTGTGTTTAATTAAAGGCAAATGAAATCCAGTCTGTGTCCATTTTCAATGTTAATAGTCTCGATAGCGGGCGGCACTGGGGCTTACGCCTGTAATCCCAGCACTTTGGGAGGTTGAGGCGGGTGGATCACCTGAGGTCAGAAGTTTGAGATCAGCCTGACCAACACGGAGAAACCTCATCTCTACTAAAAATTCAAAAATTAGCCAGGCGTAGTGGCGCATGCCTGTAGTCCCAGCTACTCGGGAGGCTGAGGCAGGAGAATGGTGTGAACCTGGGAGGGGGAGCTTGCAGTGAGCTGAGATCGCGCCACTGCACTCCAGCCTGGGCAACAGAGCGAGACTCCATCTCAAAAAAAAAAAACATAAAGTAATCTCACATTCTCACATTTGAATGAAGAATCATGAATCCTAATGGGACAATAGAGTGCCCAACATGTTCATATATTTATAAAGGAGTGGGACTTATTCCAGGAATTTAAATGTTTCTATATTGGAAAATCCAAATATCTTCATATAATTCACCAAGGAGATGAGAAATATCCTCAGGTAGGTAAGGGTGTATTTGTACATAAGTAAATTTCTGTTTCTGCTTAAAAATACTTGTTTAGATCGCTTCTCGGCCTTTTGGGTAAGATCAAGTGTAAAAATACTTGTTTAGGAAAATAATTCCTTAAAGTGATTAAAAATACAACTATCTCAAAATTAGAGCCAAATTCAAATACTTCATACATTAGTAGGGTCACCTGGTGTGGATGGAAGGACGTGTCATATAATGCCAGTGTTCTGACTCTCTGTGGCTGCATAATGCTACCTCAAAACTTATTTATTTTTATTTATTTTTATTTTTTGAGATGGAGGTTTGCTCTTATTGTCCAGGCTGGAGTGCAATGGTGTAATCTCGGCTCACCGCAACCTCCGCCTCCCGGGTTCAAGCGATTCTCCTGCCTCAGTCTCCTGAGTAGCTGGGATTACAGATATGCGCCACCACGCCCAGCTAATTTTGT